CTTCTTCTTCTTTTGGGGGAGGGTTGTTTTTGAAGATGGGGATCTTGCTATGTAGCCATGGACTAGAACTCACTTTGTAGACCAGGCTGGCACTGAACTTGCAATAATCCTCTGGCATATGCCTCCAAAGTGCTAGGATCACAGGGATGTGCCACCATGCCATGTTAAAACACTGTTTTCCAGGATGATCTTCAATAGACATAAGGAATCAAGAATGGCTCTTTGGGCTGGAGGGATGGTGCAACCATTAAAGGCTTGGGCTCACAACCAAAGGAATGGCTATTTGTGAACAATTCATTAAATTCCATTACAAAGAACAGTGCAAGAAAGCTGCAGAGGGCTACAAAATCAAGTCTCACAGGTAATCAGGGCAGTGTTTTACTATGAAAATTTATTTTGCCCTTCAATAAGTTTTTTTTAATTATTTTTATCTTATGTGTATGAGTGTATTGCCTGCATATATGTAAGTATACACCCATCTGTGAAATGCCCATGGAAGTCAGAAGAGGGCGTCAAATCCCCTGGAACTGGAGTTACCGATGGTTGTTAGCTACTATGTGGGTGCTGGAAACTGAACCTAAGTCCTTTGCAAGAGCAGACTGCTTTTAACTGCTGAGCGATCTCCTTAGCCCCTCACTGAGTTATTGGTAAGACACTAATACAAGTTCTTCTTAGATCTAGAGTTTCATACAGAAGATATATTAAAATCAATGATGATTTTGCTAAATCACTTAAGAGTAGTCAAATCAGAAAGAAATGTGGATTAGCCTAAGAGCAAAAAATGGGGAAAAAATGTATACTTATTTTTTTGTGTTGGAAATGTGAATGCATTTCTTGAAGACAATAAGAAAATTGAAGCTAATGGTTAAAAGAGTGTTCACGAAGCTGGAGAAATGGCTCAGCAGTTAAGAGCACTGGTTAAGAGGCCAGTACTCACATGGCAGCTAACAACTGTCCATGACTTCAGTTCCAGGGGATCCAATACCCTCTTCTGGCCTCCACGGGCATTATACAAATGGGTGTATTTATATATGCAAAGCCATTCATATTCATAAAATAAAGTTTTGTAAAAAGCAAAACAAAAAAAGGTCTCTCTGAACCATTCATCTCTTTGGATCCTTGTCTCCATCAGGAGAACAAGCTGCAGGATGAAAAACTGTAAAACAAAGCTATGTCTGCCCAGCTGAGGCCCTTCTGCATCAGCTAGCACTCACTCAACCTATCAGCTGACTGTGGACTGATGAGTTAACCAGCAAAGCTTAGCCAAGCCATCCCAGCTCAGCAGAACTATTCAGCCAATGTACAGAGACTTTCAAGCAGAAATGCACGCTGGTTGCAATGCCATTCAAGCTTGGTATTTGCTAATGGCTGTTAATAGCTGTATTACCATGACTATAAATAAAAAATACAGAAATTGATGCCACTGATATACACCATAACAAAAATTTAAAACACACTGACTTTAAGGACAATCTAACAATGTCAGTATGGATAAGCCTTGTAAGACTGCACAGCATAGGATAAGCTAAAGAAAGGATTCATCACCTTACATGCAGAGTCTAGAGGGACTAACTTTGCTACTTGGAAAATAAAATGTTTTTGTTTCTAGTCTCCTAAAAGAATTTCAATATAAGGTGAAGTCCATGCACAAAGTTCAAATTGAGAATGTTATTATATGGGTTCCCCCCCAAATCACAAAGAGGGTTCTAAATAAAACACTTTGAGCTTGATAAAATGATTTTTAGGAAGTTCACAGGAATGATCCCACAAAATTCTGATTCTCAAGTGGTAGTGATTACACTTGGAGAACATGTTTCAAAAAAAATTATGGGCATGGGTTTTTTAAGTATTGAAGAGAGCTGATCATACAAAACCCAGGAGGCAGAGGCAGGTAGATCTCTGTGAGAAAAAATAAAATTATGGAATAGGGCATATCAGGCATAGAGAAGTGAGTTGAGTCCAAAGAGCCATCAGTCTGGACTCCTAACCTATTCTGTGTGACGTGCTTAGCCAACAAACGACAGTGGAAGCAACAATGTGCCAATTTAAGGGGCCTTGCATCCTCTGCTCAATTCTTTGGGCTTTCTCTCTGTTTTGAGAACCAAGTTAGGTTATTTTGCTGATGAATGAGAGACTACAGGTGCAGAGATGAGCACAGCAGGGCTATTTTCTTGTTTCCAACAAGATGGCAAAATCACCACCCCCAAATACCCCTAAAACTAAGAAATCTACTGTACCCAGCTAGTCACAGGTTCCCTACTACAGTGAGAGGATGGACTTCATGGAGCCCTGGTGAGACGGATACTCTATATTTTATAAAGACATGTGTAGCTCTGACTTCAGTTACTAGACATTCACTCATCCCTCATCTTCACTCAAGGTTGTGTATTTAGCAAGCTGAGCTTGAAGCTAATCTTCAAAGAAAAAATACAATAGACTTCCTGACCTACATCCACCAAAGGAATGGACAAAAAACTCTGCCAGTCCCCAAAAGCCTATTATTTTATGAAACACCAGAGTCTTTCTTCAAAAAATGGGGGATCTTTAGGAACATTTAACAAATTTCCTTTAAGCCTGAATTTAAATTTTAAAAATGTCTCTATAATAGGGAAAGGAGAAAATAGTGGCAACTGGATCCCAGTGGTCTTTTCCCCAGGAAAGAACCTTTAGGTTAAACTGTCTTAAACTCAATCTATGTATTTTCTAGCTTTTTTCTTATAGTTTTCTATAAGTTGTTAGACTGCCACAGGCACAGTGGAGAGGAATCAGATTCCTTCCCTTTCTATCTCACCAGGCTAGAAATAAATCCAGTTTCCTTTACCAAATTTTGTTTCCTCATTTCTTTTGGAATGCAGGGAAACTAAGGCGACACATTACGGACCTGAGCACTGGATGCTATCATCACTGAACAGACCTTCAGAGCTGCAGCGGGAGTGACTGCAAGTTCTTATGAGTTGCTGCCTATGTCTTTCTTCTGGATTTTTTTGTTTTTCTGTTTGTTTTTGAGACAAGCTCTTGCTGTATAGATCAGACTGATCTGGAACTTTTATTATTATTATTTATTATTTTTTTGGTGTTTTTAAGACAGGGTTTCCCTGTAGCCCCAGCTGGCCTGGAACTCACTGTGTAGACCAGGCTGGCCTTGAACTCACTGAGATCCACCTGCCTCTGCCTCCCAAATGCTGGGATTAAAGGCATGCGCCACCACGTCTGGCTGAACTTTTATATAGTTCAGGCTAGCCTCAAACTCATGATCCTTTGTCTCTGCTTCCTGAGTGCTAGGATTATGTGTGTACCACCATGCCAGGTTATATTTCTGTTTCTTCCATGCCATCATTAATTTAACATATCACAATTTTCATCAAGTTAATAAGTACTTATAATCATAATTTTATTCTTACTTGGAAGCTACTCATGGTTTCTTAAATCCAGTGTCAACTCATCTGCACACATTAAAGCCTGACATTAAAGCCTGACACAATTTGCCTTTTTTTTTTTTTTTGAGGCAGTGTCTCCTTGTAGCCTCAGTTAGTCTAGAACTTGCTATGTAGACCAGGCTGGCCTCAATCTCACAGAGATCTACCTGCCTCTGCCTCCCAAGTGCATTAGCCACCATACCCAGCAACACTCCTAGCACTAGGAAGGTTGAGGCTCAGAACTGCCCCAGTTCAAGGCCAGTCAGGCCTACAGAGCAAAACTGATCTCAATAAACTCAAAACAAACTAACTAAATGACGAAACAGACAAAAAATATGTTCATTCCTTTTGCTAAGACTTGATTCCACTACTTACTTGGTTCAAATTTCTCTTTTACTAAAAGGATCTTTTACTTCATCTTTGCCTATTCAAGCCTTATCCATACTTTGATCCTATCTCTCTGAGGCAAGATAAACAGGAAAACATAAGGGGACATGAGGAGGGAAAGAAACCCCTCACCTTCAGATCTAGTTTGCCTCTCTTGCTGAGAGTCAAGAAATTCAACACAACTGATAAAAGCCAAAACTGCCTTACAGAGACAATGCTTGTTTTCCTCAAGACATTTCAAACAAGAATGTCCATAAAATTCTCAAAGAATAAAAATATTTTTAAAAGATAAGTTATTAGGGGCTGGAGAGATGGAGAGAGAGCACTGACTGCTCTTGCAGAGGACCTGGGTTCGATTCCCAGCACCCAAATAGTGGCTAACAATCATCTATAACTTCAGTTCCAGGGGATCCAATGCCTTCTTCTGACCTCCACAGGCACTGCATGGCACAGGTGTACTTATACACATGCTGGTAATATACTCATACACACAAAATGAAAATAATAAAATACTTTTTAAAAAGATAAGTTATTCAATCTCAAGTAGTCAGCCCTAAACAGACATACACAAGAGCAATATTAAAAGGACTCAGGAGGTTGTGTGTATCTACATATGTAGATATACACACACTCACACACATATATATGTAATAGTAATGAAGAGCTCATGAATTTGAGAGGCGATGGGGTGATGTGGGAGGAGCTGGAAGGGGAAGAGGAAAGAATGGAAATGATGTAAATACAATGCTCATGTATGATATCCTAAAAAAAAAAATGTTTAAATTTTAAAAATTGGGGGAGAGTAAATAAAAACTAACTATGCTTACTTAGGGCTAGAATGTTTGTAACTTTGAATCTCTACAGCCTTCCTATAGCTACTGAAGCTTCATCATATATGTTTTATATTTCTACTTAGCTGTTTTGTGTATGTAACTTCCTCATTACACTACATATTTTAAAAAGCAAAAATGAGATCTTACACATTTCCATTAAAGCCCTCCCTTTTAATGCTCAATACAAATCCACAAATACATGCTAAATATACTCAGCTTTACTGCCAAATCCCTGTGAATTATCTCCAAATATGCATTTAAATAAAATTTCTTAGAAAATAATCACCTGAATACAAGCCCATTGCTTTCTTTGTATATGTTGGAACAAACACATGTAATTAAACTCTTACAATAAAATACACACCCTCTCTGGAATAAATCCACATTGTAGAACTTGTTTAGCTCCACGGAGAATTCTACCATTGCTTGAACTTCAGTCATTTTTAATTTATACCCAGAGGACAAATCAGGTAACAGCACCTTAGTTAGAAAGGAGGGTGGGGGAGAAATCATGAGAAACACAACAAAAATATCAATTTATCAGCCTAACTTAGCTTAATCCAAGTAAACAGTAGGCTACTTTTATCACTTAAGTTTTGTTGGTTACAATGCTTTTCTAAGATTCTTTCCCTTGATGACATCCATGTGATAATCTATGAATTGTTGCTGTTGAGTTCTTAAATGACATTTTAAAGCTGTTTTATTTTTTTTAAGGGGGGGTGGTGCTGGAGAGATGGCTCAGTGGTTAAGAGCACTGGCTGCTCCTGCAGAGGACCTGGGTTTATTTCCCAGCATCCACATGGCGGTTAACAGCCATATATAAGTTCAACTCCAGGGGAATCCAATACCCTCTTCTGGCCTCTGAAAGCACTGCATGCACATGGTACAAAACATACAGAAAATAAAAGTTTTGAAATTTTTTAAAAATATTAAAAAAAATAGAAATAAAAGACTTCCCCCCCTTCATTATAAAAACCTGAAGCATTCATTTTCAAAGAAGAAACACACACAGGCAAATGAAAAAACATTTATAATTCCACTAAAATATATAGTTTCGTATGTGCACTTTAGTATAATTATATAAAACTGGAATCAGTGACAAGTACATTATAGAACTTACTTATCTCAGTTAACTTTGTGATGAACATTTAAGCCAATAAATGTAATTGTATGACATTACTTAATTTAATTTAATTTTTTTGTTGTTGTTATTTTGAGACAAGTCTCCTTGTAGCCCCAGCTGGCCTGGAACTCACTATGTAGACCAGTCTGGCCTTGAACTCACAGACATCCGCCCTGCCTCTGCCTCCAGAGTGCTGGGATTAAAGGCATGCCCCACCACACATAAAATAATATGACATTATTTTAAATTGTAGCTATTATACTGCAAGCAGCTTACAGTTTAAACAATCACCTATTCTTGGGTATTTGAGTGGTTTCTATCTTTTGTTATTTCAAAAAAACAAACAAAAAAAAAAAAACAAACCTCACAACAATCAGCCTTACTAAGAACATCTATTTTAAAAAAGTAATTTAGAGAAAAAAATGTTGGGAGGCAATTCTCCAGTGACCTCTGGTATTCCTCCTTTTCAGAGACACTAACAGCCTTTGTTCTAGACTATCTATAGAATGATGTTTGTATAGTGTCTTAAAAGTCAAAATATGTCTCCACAGTATAGCAGGCTAACTTGTTAGCTGCAAGTGGAATAAAATCTCAGACCCTTCACAGTTCTTGAAAAAGCACTTTACTGAAATGTAGCAAACATTCTAATTTATAATGAAGTAAGTGCAAAAGAAATGCTATATTCTTACCTCTGCTGATCAATTCATTTTAACATTATTAAATAACCAATCTTGAGTTTACAGTTACTGACTCTTGATGTTAAAAATATATTATTTCCCCTATGAGAAAGAAACAATAAAATATCAAACAAAATTGGAGATATAAAAAAGTCTATTTCAAAGATATCTACTCGTCATTACATTCTCAATTTACACATAAGATCTACATTCTCCATAAAGCTTGAGAATACATTCTAATTTCATTCTTATCATTAACTATTATATGTCTCTATTAAGGATTCACTTATGTATAATTCACAGTACAAAAACAAAGAATTCAGAAACAATTCTCATGAACACTGAAAACATTAGAAGCCTATTATTAATTTTACGATGTAGAGCTCATAATTTTACATAACTGAGTAGTGATTTTTGAAATTTCATATACGTATGCACATACATAGATTTCATGCAGACCTGTATGTGTAAAATAAGCTACTTAAAATATTTTGACAAAAATGATGCCTGACTATGCTACATTTTTTCCTCACATTTCAAATATTATTTAGATTTAAAAAATTTTGCCTTTTGTATAATCATTTTAGGATCTAAAAACATTAAAATGAAGACCATGTTTATTAATTTTTTCTCCCCTGTCATAAAGGTGGAAACTCTGTCAACTTTTAAAGCTGCTACTTTCAACTTTAATAATCTCATCAGCAGTATAAAATGATCAAAATAGATGAAATCAATGTTTCTTTATATAAGCTATTCCACATTCATGGAAATAACATTTACTCTAAGACAGCTTCTCCTATGTCCATTTTCTTGTGAGCAGGGTTAGATCCTACTCTGGCACTGACTCTGAGTCAAGTCTGGTCAAGTCTCTATGTCTTAACACATTTGAATATATAAAGTAGGTATTCATTCAAACATTTACTGAACATCTACTACGAGCTCTCAATGACAATAGTTGAAAAGTACAGCTCAGTTTGGGATCTTAAAAGAGCTAACCAACTGTAAGAAAGCAATTAGTATACACAGTATAGCAAAAAGGTATTAACATGGGTTTAAGATATGAGTCCCAAGACCCAACATTTTGAGGTTGCCTTCCTTGTACTTCCATCCCTGTTACAGTACAGTGTAACCCTCTTACATAAACCAGAAGTAGGCTTTTTACATGAAAGAAAAATAAACTTTAATCTCTTAAGCTCCTTTCATTTGGGGAACCTACTGTAGCAATTTGGCCTTTTTTTTTAGTACAGAATTTGATACAAAAAGTAGGGTATAGCTACAACAGAATCCTAAAACATATGAATAAATACCAGAAGTAGGGTACAGTTGTAACCAAAAAATCTCAAGATACATAGCACTAGCTTAGTAACTACACACCGGGCAGTAAAGAAACATACTACTATACTAGTAACCCTCTTACATAGAGCAAAACAACTGATAAAAATGTTGTCTACAGTAACTTGCACAACTAGTTGTTCATAAAAGTCCAAAGCCCCCCAGAAAAGTAAATACAAAGTATCATAACCCTGGTCCTTTGCTATGTTTACTTTGGCTAGTCTGTAAGCAAAGGTGGAAGGAAATAAAAGAGCAGAAATTAACATCTTGCAGTCTACTACTCCAATATCCTAAATCAGGATTGGTACCTTCAAAGGGAATTCTAAAAATTCTTGACAAAACACAGGAACCCAAATTTATGGTTAAGATTAGGTTAAGGATGCTGCTATCCCACCAATACCTATTTTACCACATTGTTTCAAGAAAATGGACACTAAAATGAGGGATAAGGATGTAGCTCAATAAAATAAGACCATTAAAATGTACTGGGAGTACAGAGAGAAACAAATCCAGGAAAGAAGTTTAGTTTAGTTACCATCACATAAAATGGAATGGTGAAAAAACAGAAAAATCTCACTATGTTTTTACAGAACACTTTGTCAAAGAACCTACAAAAGCCTGTGACTGTGTAACTTGGAAGCTTTAGAATCTGCAGTAGCTGGAAACAGGCTATGAAAGCTCTACCTTCCAAAGCAGACAAACTCTCAACTCGAGCTTTAACGTGGCTATAGAGGTTAACGTAAGGAAGGGGTACCCAGACAGCAAGGAGAGGGATCATAATGCAATAGACACAGGCGTTCAAACCAGAAAGCAGAACTCGGGTAGCCTTCCACTTCCAGGGAAAGGTATCTTTGTCATTCTAGGCCAGCATTGTTCTCAGCTAGGCAGTGCTTCTTACTGTTTGTTAAAAATGGGAAACCTTTTATTGTTCTGCTTCTGATCTCGTCACAAAATACTGGACAAGGGTAGGAGGAATGGAGGTAGAGCAGATAGCTGTTTGTTTATGGGTCACTGGACTTGCAGATGTCTCCATGACCTTAGACTAGTGCAACACATGGAGGGCATTTTGGTTGTTTTGTTTTTCAGAAAGGCATGCAGCAGTGTTTTCAACAGGACACACATGGATATTTGGATGGGTAGAGTGGCAGCCTGGTACACGGCTTCTCATATCCTTTTGCCCTTTCCTAGGCAAACGGTTACCCAGCCTGAGAGTATTTCTCAGTCTCTATCAAGAAGTTACCCTACCCATGAAATGTGGCCAAGTGATCCTACTCATGGAATAGAAACTCAAGTGATGCCTGCATATCTGCCTCTCTTGTTTAAAAGGAAATTCTCTGCCCTGAACGTCTTTCCCTCCTTTATTTTTCACAGGCTGGAATATTTTCTGGACAGTGGTCTAGTTTTTTAAAAACATATTTTATTCATTATTTTTATTTTATGTGCATGAATGAGTGTACTGCCTGCATGTATGCAAGTGTTACCTCTGTCACGCAATGCCCACAGAGGTCAGAAGAGTTTTGGATCCCCTGGTACTGCAGTTATGGATAGTTGTTAGTCACCTTGTGGGTGCAGGGACTCAAACTTGGGTTCTCTGCAAGAGCAGTCAGTGCTCTTAACCGATGAGACATCTCTCCACTCTAGTTCCTTTTTTTTTTTTAAATCGCAAAGATTAGGACAAAACCCTGAGAAGC